GAAGATATTTGTGTTATTGATAGTGGAACAACTCATGCCATATTCAAGGATCAGAAATACTTTTCTTATTTGCATAAGGAAAAATTCAAATACTCTTATGCTTTGTCATGGCCGTTTGGTCCATCCTGGATCAATAATGATGAGACGAATTACTGAAAATTTGAGTGGGCATCCATTAAAGAACCTGAAGATTCTTATAAATGACGAATTTTCTTGTGATGCTTCTTATCAAGGCAAAATGATCACTAGACCATCACCAATGAAGGTTGGCATTGAATCCCCTGCCTTTTTAGAGCGTATACATGGGGATATATGTAGACTTATTCACCCACCAAGTGGGTTGTTTAGATATTTTATGGTCCTAATAGATGCATCTTCAAGATGGTCTTATGTGTGTCTACTATCATCTCGCAACCTAGTATTTGCAAAGCTATTAGCCCAAATAATTCGATTAAGGGCACAATTCCCACATTATCCTATGAAGGCTATTCGCCTTGATAATGTTGGAGAATTCTCATCTCAAGCTTTTGATAATTATTGTCTATCAGTTGGGATAAAAGTTGAACATCCTGTAGCTTATGTTCATACTCAAAATGTTCTTGCAGAGTCATTTATTAAACGCCTGTAATTGATAGCAAGACCACTTCTTATGGAAACAACATTGCCCACTACTGTTTGGGGCCATACTATCTTGCATGCAGCATCACTTATCCATCTCAGACCGACACATTATAATAAATATTCTCCGCCGTAAATAATTTTTGGTCATGAACCAAATATTGCTCATCTATGAATTTTCGGATGTGTTGTATATGTGCCAGTAGCACCACCACAGCGCAGTAAAACGGGACCACAAAGAAGGATATGAATATATGTTGGGTTTGAATCACCCTCTATTATTCGCTATCTTGAACCATCGACAAGAGATTTATTTACTGCTCGATTTGCAGATTGTCGGTTTGATGAAACAAATTTTCCACAATTAGGGGGAGAGAGAAAGGAAATCAAAAGAGAAATTGTGTGAAAAGTTTCATCATTATCTCACTTTGATCCTCGTACCCCTATATGTAATCAGGAGGTCCAGAAGATCATCCATTTACAGAATATAACAAATCAAATACCAGATGCATTTACTGATTTGAAAAGGATAACTAAGTCACATATCCCAACAGAGAATGTGCCTATCCGAATTGATGTCCCAGTAGGACCTTTTACTAGCATGAGAGCTAGTGAACCTAAAGCACTCCGGAAGCGTGGTAGGCATTTGGGTTCTAAGGATCGAAATCCTCGAAAAAGAAAATCGACAAATGATCAAAATGCTACTATGAAGAGATCTCCTAAGGAGACCCAAGATCTAACTAGTTCTGAGATTTCTGAAGAAATCAATGAACCTGAAGCTCATGTGAGTGAAGAACTTTTAATAAGTTCGACCGATGATGGGATTAATTTAAATCGATCTGAAATAGTGGTGGATAATATTTTTGCATATAATGTTGCACTTAATATTATGCAAGATAGTGAGGATCTTGAACCTCGATCTATCGAAAAATGTCGACAAAGATCTGATTGGCCAAAATGGCAAAAGGCAATTCAATCGGAATTAAAGTCACTTGCTAAAAGAGAGGTCTTTGGACTAGTAGTCCAAACACCTGCTGGTATAAAATCAGTTGGTCATAAATGGGTTTTTGTGCGAAAAAGAAATGATAAAAATGAAGTTAAAAGATACAAAGCTCGCCTTGTCGCACAAGGATTCTCACAACGACCTGGAGTCGATTTTGATGAAACATATTCACCTGTTATGGATGCCATAACATTTCGATATCTCATCAGTTTAGCACTGCATGAAAAGCTTGAAATACATCTAATGGATGTAGTTACAACTTATCTATATGGTTCACTTGATAATGAAATTTATATGAAAATCCCTAAAGGATTTAAAATGCCTGAAGCAAATTCAAAATCTCAGGAAATTTATTCAATAAGATTACAAAGATCTTTGTACGGTTTAAAGCAATCTGGGTGCATGTGGTATAATCGCCTTAGTGAATATTTGCTGAAAGAAGGTTACATAAATGATGTTATTTGTCCATGTATTTTTATAAAGAAAATGACATAAGAGTTTGTTATACTTGTTGTTTATGTTGATGACATAAATCTGGTTGGAACTTCAGAAGAGCTCCAAAAGGCAATTGAATATCTTAAGAAAGAATTTGAGATGAAAGATCTTGGAAAGACAAAACTTTGTCTTGGTCTGCAAATTGAACATTTAGCAAACGAGATCTTTATCCATCAATCTATCTATATAGAAAGGGTCTTAAAACGCTTTTACATGGACAAAACGCACCCATTGAGTACACCAATGGTTATTCGATCACTTGAAGTGAATAAGGATTTGTTTCGACCTCCAGAAGAGGACGAGGAACTCCTTGGTCCCGAAGTACCCTATCTCAGTGCAATTGGTGCACTAATGTATCTTGCTAATGCTACAAGGCCTGACATAGCATTCTCTGTTAATTTACTAGCAAGATATAGTTCTTCTCCTACACGGAGACATTGGAACGGGATTAAGCATATATTGCAATATTTAAAGGGAACTCTTGATATGGGTTTGTTTTATGCTAACAAAGATATTGCAGATCTTGTTGGCTATGCAGATGTAGGTTATTTATCTGATCCCCATAAAGCTCAATCTCAAGCCAGGTACGTATTTACATATAGAGGTACTGTCATATCATGGCGCTCCACAAAACAATCTATTACTTCTTCAAATCATGCCGAGATAATAGCTATTCATGAAGCAAGTAGGGAATGCGTATGGTTGAGATCAATAATTCATTTTATTCGAGAAAAATGTGGTTTGGAATGTGAGAAAAACCCCACAATTTTATACGAAGACAATGCTGCATGCATAGCCCAATTGAAGGGAGGATTTATAAAAAGAGATAGAACGAAGCACATTTCACCAAAATTATTCTACACACACGATCTTCAGAAAAGTGGTGACATTGATGTGCAACAAATCCGTTCAAGTGATAATCCAGCAGATTTATTCACTAAATCTTTGCCAACTTCAACTTTTGAGAAGATGGTATACAAGATTGGAATGCGGAGACTCAAATATTTAAAACAAGGTTTTCATCAGGGGGAGTAAAATACGCGATGCACTCTTTTTTTTCCTTACTAAGGTTTTTTCCCATGAGGTTTTCTTTATAAGATTTTTAATGAGGCACATAGCAATGTGTATTACTAAATATGTGTACTCTTTTTCCTTCACTAGAATTTTTTCCCACGTGATTTTTTCCAGTAAGATTTTAGTGAGGCACATTATCTTTTAATGAACATCCAAGGGAGAGTGTTATAAATATATTATATTATGGATGTTCATTTAATACTCCATTGTAAATAAGCTTCCTGAAGAAGCTTATCCATATGGGAATCCACCGTAAATATATTTACCTATTTAGTACCCTATTGGAAATACGTTTCCTGAAGAAGCTTATCACTTCGATACCCGGTTATGGCTAAACATTACCCCCGATAGAAGATTATCCATACCGGGTACAATGAGCTTATCCTTTCAGTACTCTATTATAGATAATCATTACCCCTAGTAGAAGATTATCCATACTGGGTACAATGAGCTTATCCATTCAGTACTCCGTTATGGATAAACGTTGCTTTCAGTAGAAGATTATCCATATCTGGTATAGTAGCAGCTTACACAACAACTTGTAGTAGCAGCTTGCAGTAGCAGCTTACACAACAGCTTCCTTTCTTCTATAAATAGAAGAGATTTCAGTTCATTATGTACATCAGTTTGAATTCGAATAATATATCGGTTTCTCTCTATACTTGTCTTTACTTTACAGTCTTTATTTCATAACAAAAATAAGCTTACACGTAACTTTTTGTTCCAACAACTAAGGTCCCGTTTGGCCATAATTATTTTTTTACTTTTTTCGAAATCAATGTTTGACAATAAAATTTTTTAATTTCACTTGAAGTTGAATTACAGAATTTTTCGAGAATTGAAAAACTCCAAAAAACTATTTTCCAAAATTTTCACTCCAACTCACTCACAAAAATTCAAAAACAGCTCCAAATTGTATTCATGTCCCAACACAACTTTAATTTTCACTTGATATTTTTCACTTTTTCTAAAATTTCACAATTCTTATGTCCAAACACCCACTAATTGTAACATGATGTAAAAGTATTAGACATTTGCACTAAGGTGCCTTATAAGTTGTACTATTATTTTAACTTAACCCAGGTTGTTAGATTTGTAGTTGACCATAGTTAGGAAGTTAGTTATGTTAATGTATATAACCGACTTTTTCATCTCTATATTGAATAGAGTTCCTTTTCAATACAAAATGAAAGTGAGCCGAGCTCTCAATTCTCTCTCTCTCTCTCTCTCTATGCTTTGTGATTATAGTTGTTTTCTTTTTCTCATCAACTTAACATGGTATCAGAGCAGTAATTGAAAGGATCTAGGGATTTCGCTTCTGATAGTTGGTAAGGAAATCGAGAGATTCTTCTTCGAAGATCACATAATTTCTTCGTCAAATTGAAAACCTAATTTGGAGAGATGGTGAATTCTAACGCCGGAACTTCAATTTCAAGCACGATCGATCACAATTATCCACTTTACCTTCAGCCATCAGATTCGCCAGGTGTAATTCAAACTGGAATTATCCTTATAGGTAGGAAAATTATAGTGTTTGGAGCAGAGCAATGAAATTAGCCCTATAGTGTAAGAACAAATTAGATTTTATAGATGGCTTAGTTCGGAGGGCAGATGTGGATAAAGGACTTGAAAAACAGTGGGATCACTGTAATGCATTGGTCAAATCGTGGATTATGATTAACCTGAGCAAGGATTTGCTTAGTGGAGTACTGTTCCACACTTATGCACATGCTGTGTGGGATGATTTGAAATAGAGTTGATAAGGTGAATTTGTCTAGGGTTTATCATCTCCATAAGGAAATTGCAAACAATGACACACGTTGTTTCCTCTGTTTCGATCTACTATTCGAAAATGAAAGACTTATGGGATGAGGTCGACTATATTATGACTATACCTTCTTATTGTGATAAATCGAAGGATTTTGTAACTCATTTAAGGAGACAAAGACGGTTTCAGTTCCTCATGGGCTTGAACGATGGATACTGTCAGTCTCGAAGACAAATTCTCATGATATCACCTATACCCTCTGTCAAACAAGCTTATGCACTAGTTGTGCAAGGTGAAAGTCAAAAACTAGTTGCAGGTGGAGCTTACAATCCAAATGATCATATGGAGCCAACTGCTCTTTTCACTGGAAGGAATGGATTGTAGAAGCAGAGAAAGCCACCTATGTATTGTGAGTTTTGCAACATGAAAGGACATACGAAGGATAACTGTTTCAAGCTAATGCAATGTGAGTTCTATCATATGAAGGGGCACCTCAAAGAGAACTGCTACAAGATCATATGATATTTTAAGGGGAAAAAAAAGCTAATGCAGTAGGAGGAAACTGGAGAAGTGGTGAAATCACCATACCTCAGCACACTGAAAACAGACCATAGGCACAATCGCCAAACTTTACACATGAGCGGTATCAACAAATCCAAAATATGCTGAGCAAATCTCCAATGACTGAACATAGTGCAAATATGGCAAGTATGGTTCCTTCAATCAATGAGTCTGACTTAAAATGGATAGTGGATACATGGACAACAAATCACATGATTAGTGATAAAAATGCTTTATGTGATGGCTCGATGGTAGGAATTTCTGGAAATCTGCAACTTCCAAATGGAGAGGTTGCAGCCATAACTCAAATAGGTAATTATCATTTAACTAGAGGTGATCTACTTGAGAATGTGTTGTGTGTGCCAGCATTTAAGTTTAACCTCTTGTCTGTTTCAAAGTTGACAAAGAGCTTGAACTGTTATGCTACTTTTATTCCTAATTTCTTCATATTTCAAGATCTCTTCACTAGGAAGGTGAATGAGATTGGTAGGGCAAAAGAATGCTTGTATGTTCTAAATTTTCGGAGGAAAGGAAGTATACCAGTTGGTAAGAGGTCTATGGCCGTGACAAAGACAGTAGATGCAGATACCTGGCATAAAATGATGGGACATGTTCCTATTCTGTATTGGGGAAGATTACTGAGTTTAGGAATAAAGCTAGCTCCAGCATTAATCATTATGATGTATGTCCAATAGCTAGGCAAACTAGAATGCCATTTCCTACTAGTGATAATAAATCTGTTGAAACTTTCAACTTGTTATATATGGATGTTTGGGGTCCTTATAAAGTGCCTACATATAATAGAATGAGGTATTTCCTTACTGTGATTGATGATTTTTCTAGATGGACATGGATGTTCTTGATGCATTTAAAATCTGATGTAGTTACTATACTTAAAAATTTCCTTAGTTTAGTTCACACACAGGTTGGAAAATAGGTTAAAACTTTCAGGTCGGATAATGGAACTGAATTCTTTAACCAAAACTGCACAGAGTTATTCAAACAACATGGAATAATTCACCAAAGTTCATGTCCACATACACCCCAACAAAATGGGGTAGTGGAGAGGAGACATAGGCACATCCTTGAAACTGCTCGAGCACTTAGATTTCAAGGTCATCTACCAATTAGATTCTGGGGAGATTGTATTGAGACTGCAATTTACATCATCAATCGAGTGTCATCTTCATTACTTGGAAATAAGATGCCATATGTCCAGTTAGTAGGGAGTCCGTTACAGGTTATGTGATCAAATATGGAGACTCCCTTATTTCATGAAAATCCAAGAAGCAACCTACTGTGTCTCGCAGCTCTGCTGAGGCAAAGTACAAAAGTTTGGCCTCCACTGTTGCTGAGATTGTGTGGCTTGCTGGCCTGTCCAAAGAACTCAATGCCCCACTCTCCTTGCCAGTACCTTTGTACTGTGATAGTAAATAAGTCATACAAATTGCTGTTAACCCTATTTTTCATGAACGTACCAAACACATCGACATCGATTGCCACTTCATTCTTAAGAAGATTTTTCAAGGTCTCGTGAAAACTGTCTACTTAGCTTCTTCTGAGCAGCATGCTGATCTTCTAAACAAAGGTCTTAGCAGACTTCAACATCACTATTTGGTGTCCAAGCTAGGGATGAAAAACATATTCATTTCTCCTAGCTTCGGGGAGGGGTGTCACACCTCCTTTTTCACCCGTGCCCACAAAGGGGCGTAAAAGGGAGTTTTTTCAATTAAAGGACAATAAAAACGGGATTTATTATTTAATTCAGAGTCGCCACTTGAGAGATTTATGGTGTCCCAAGTCACCGGTTGAATCCCGAATCGAGAAAAAGATTGACTCTGTATTACAGTCCGCGAACCAAAAATCCGAGTAAGGAATTTTGTTAACCCGGGAGAAGGTGTTAGGCATTCCCGAGTTCCGTGGTTCTAGCACGGTCGCTCAACTGTCATATTCGGCTTATTTATCAGGTTTTAATACATGTTGAACCTATGTGCAAATTTTAACTGTTTACCACTTTTATTACTATTATTTTTAACGAGAATTGCAACGTCGTGAAAATACACCTCGAACCACGTCTCATCAATGCACCCGTGGTTATTGACACATTTCAACTCTGTTGAGATTTAGATTTGGGTTACATAAATGTGCACCCGAGTTTAAGAAAGTAATTTATTAAAGGCGCGCCTAAGCGACTAGCGTATCATTATTTTGGGTAGGGCCGTGAAATTTTGCTAAACGGCCCATCCGGAAGTCTAAGTAATTTTACCAACACGTATAGAGAGCCCCACAGCTTGTGTATTTTTTGTTTGTCGAGGCTCGTCTCATTAATATTTTTTTTTTAAAAAAGAATTTGCAACGTCGTGGAAATGCATCTCGAACCACGTCACAATCAATGTACTCGTGATTAGCGACACAATTCGACTTCGTGGAGATTTGGATTTGGGTCACATAAATGCGCACCCGAGTTTAAGAGAGTAAATTATTTAAAGCGCGTCGGAAGTGACTTGCGCGTTATTATCTTTTGGGGAAGGTCGTGAAATTCGCTAAACGGCCCGTCCCTAAATCTAAGTATTTTAAAACAAATATTTATTAAGGGCCCCGCAATTTTGTATTTTTTATTCGGCGAGGCTCATCTCATTTTTATTCAAGGATATCCTAAAGCGACTATGATTTTCTATTTATTTGTCTCTAAGAATAAAGAAAAATCCTAATCAATTAGCATTAAAAGTTTGGGTTTCAAGTTCAAGTCCGGGTCCAAATAAAAGGAAACCCCTTCTAGTTTGAACCCGCTACCTAACTTAAGATCCGCCGCCTGCCGTTGTAAATATTAACAAACCAACTACCATTTCGATTCAGTTCAACCTAGCTTTATTATATGAATTGGACTATTGGAATTAACTATGTGGAATACAAAGCCATTTTTGAGCTCTTTTTACGATTTGTTGAAAAATGCATCAATGCTTAAAAATTGACATCAAGCTAACATTAATCACTAACATTTGAGAACTAACATTAGTTACCAACATTATTTACATTGCTATTTAAAATGATGTTATTTACTCAAGTGAACTCGCAATTTCAGAATTAGACCTATTAAACCAACATGCTGATTTCCATAAACTATTTGAACCTGTTTTGTGACATAAACTATTTGAAACTATTTCACGACCACTGAAAAAAAGAATTAAATACAGTATATTTCATAACTAGTAATCACAAACTAAGATTAAGTACAATTGATATTCCATGTTTGTAGAAATAGATTCAATTAGCCCAGCTTATGCATTCCAAAGTCATTCCAATACATACTATGAAATATCAAGTGAACTACTGCTTATACATCAAATTAAACACAAAGAAACAAGGGAAATTCAGAAATCTATTCCAACAACTCTTTACTTCCTTTCCATTAAATTTGAGAGCTTTAGAACGTGTACCTGGATAATGGAAATCACAAGAAGATGAAGGAGCAGTCAGCAACAGTAATAACACAGCAACGTAGTGACAGAACAACCCAGTGACAGATTAAAAAGGAAGGAACCAGCAGAGTTCCAGCAACACCCAATGAAAACAGTAGCCAATAACCAATAGCAAACTCAGGAAGAACCAATTGAAACCCCAGAAATACCAAACAACAACACCAATGAAACAGCGACAGTACTAGTTTTGATATTCAGCGGTCAAAGAAAAGACTCACTTTTCAGTTTCTTAGCTCTCCAAAGACTGAACCTTTTAGGATTAAAAACCAGCCTGTTTTTTACTCTCAAATTACTGAACTTTTAAATGTTAAAAATCCAGCCTAAACTCTCTGGAAAAAAAAACTGAAAGAGAACTCATTTTTTCCTTCCAAAAAAACCAACCCCTTTTCTGTTTTGAATGACCCTATTTATAACCCAAAAACAGGCCTCTTATCTCTGCCTTGAAAAACCATCAGATTCTAACCCCCCATCCCCCTTTGAATCCCATCACCTCATGTCTTCTTGTTTAAAGTTATTTTTTGTTTTTCACACTTGCATGCCTTGTTCCCTATTTAATTGTTCAAACAAGTATGGACAACATATTTTAATCAATCCCTTTTAAGCTTTTCATACCATTATGCTTTGTTCCCCACACTTGCATGCCTTGTTCCCCACTAGCAAATGTCTTGTTCCCCACTAGCAAATGTCTTGTTCCCCACTATGTATTAAACAATGCCTTATTTTAATATTATTAGTGCTTAGTGGACAGAGCATTCAAATTAATCATTTTTAAAACTTTAAATCCCAAAATACCCCTGAAACTATTGAAATTACCATTCTACCCCATCAGCTATATCCAATCCTCCTAATCAATTAACCAAACTATAGCAGCTATAACCAATCTTAATTGAGAAATCCTAACAATTGACTAATTAAACACATGAAACTAACTCCCAATCAACAACATTAGGACAATTCAACAAGGCCAGATTCATATCATAACAAACTTAATAGAACAAACAAGTATATCCAAATCATTAAACACAATCATCAATTGAACTCAAAACAGTAGGAAAGTCGTCAAAACGCATACACATATAATTTCAACGAATATGCAGTAGGATACTTCATGCGAAAACTTTATCAAAATGAACCCACATTAAAACGAAACCACAAATAGATCCGTGAATAACATAGATTCGAGGTAAGAGATATGACCTTTACTACTGCACTTTCTTGCTCCGTTACGCACAGTGAAAACGAAACTCCAAAGAAAAAGCAAAAATCCATGAACGAGCTATGGCTGATCTTTATGCTAATGATCCGACGTCGAACAATGCTGAACTTCCGATGAAACACAGCTTC